ACAGTCTTGCAAATCTGCCTTCAATACAGTTTAACTGTATATACAACAGCTCCTTATGTCTATGTTTTATGTGGCTTAAGCAGGGTGATTAAATCTGCAGCACATAATTTGTCTTCACTCGGGATTCTAAAAGTGTAAAAATCAACATACATGAGCACACACTACAGAGGCACAGGTGCATCCCTAAAATACACTCACAGCAAGGAGCTGCACTAGTGTTAATGGAAGGATTGTATTCACTATTACTTATCACCAAAATGCTTCTGTAAGATTAGATCCAGGGTTCCCTAATAATTTCTCCAACTAGTAGGTTCTGTTTCTAACATGTCTAGGCAGGTGATGAAAACATGTTGTTTACATCTAAATGGATCTTAGGTACTCAAATTCTTATTTCAAAGCAGTGGGGGGAAATAGAGCTGGTAAGATTTAACACCTCAAGTGTGGTTGACTAAAGGAGTGTTAACAGTATTAGACAATAGATGCCTTTTAAAAATAATACATCATATAGCTTAACGAATTGGAGGGTATACTGCTCTGATTTATCCTTGTTAAATTAGTCTTGTAAAAGTAAAACAGTCAGTAAGATAGAACCTTGCTATATTTAATGCAGGGCACAAAACATGTTGCTTTGTTTGTCTTGGAATAGGGGAATTGTGAACTTCTTCAAGATTCCTAATTTCAAAATTCTGAAAGACAGGACACATTAAATTATTTTTTAAAAACAATTATTTCAATCACCAAGTGCAGGAAATTGCAATGGGCCTGGGAGACCTTTAACCCCTTAAAGGGACACGGTAGGCACTGTATCTGCTTCATCTCATTAAACTGGTTATAGTGTATGGAATCCCCTGGTGCCATCATTTCTTTCAGCATTAAACCGTTTTTAATGTTGTAATGTTTTAATGTTAAACAAGAGACCACGGCAGTCCATCCCCTCTGTGCTGCTTTGGCTAATAAGGAAGTATTACCCTGAGCAGCAATGGGCAGCTGTGATTGGCTGAGAGTGTCAGCTGACTGCTTTTAACCTGTCAGAGCTCCAACTGACGGTATGAATGGGTATGACAACAAGGAAGTGTGTAATCTCTGCCTTAGCTACACATACAGAAGGGGCCGGACTGTGGGTGGCCAGGGACTCTTATTTTGTGGCATACCACACAAACATGGTGCAACACTGAATGAAGGGACAGTGCCAGGGCACTCCAGGCACTATAACCAATTCAAAGAGACAAAGTGGTTATAGTGACTACAGTGTCCCTTTAAGGACACATGACGTGTGACATGTCATGATTCCCTTTTATTCCAGAAGTTTGGTCCTTAAGGGGTTAAAGGGACACAATAGTCACCCAGACCACTTCAGCTCAATGAAGTGCTCTGGATGCCAGGTCCCCCAGGTTTTAACCCTTCAGATGTAAACATAGCAGTTTCAGAGAAACTGCTATGTTTACATTGCAGGGATAATCCAACCTCTAGTGGCTGTCTTCCTGACAGCAGCTAGAGGCGCTTCCCCAACGCTGGATTCGAAATTCGCATCCAGTGTGCAGAACGTCCATAGGAAAGCATTAAGAAATGCTTTCCTATGGACTGCTTGAATGAGCACGCGGCTTGTTTTCCTGACACTATAGTGATCCTTTAAACCAGGGGTAGTCAACCTGGTCCCTACCGCCCACTAGTAGGCAGTTTGGAATTTCAGGTGGGCGGTGGTGGGTTCTGCAGAGAACACCCAGTGGGCCTTGATGGCCGTGGACCAAGGCTGGCAGGGGGCATCCTTTCATCTCCCCTTGCTGTAAGCCCCTTTGGGCATATGTCCCCCCTCCCTGGTAAAAGATAAGAAGAAGGGAGGGGGAGACATTAAGATAGATTTTCACATATCACCCACCTACACACAGCATAGACCCTATGCACCCTTCACACACAAACACACACACACTACACCCCTCACACACGTACTGCCGCATTCTTTACCTATGCACCGCCCCTTCATACACATGCTGCACCTCTCACACACACTACACCCTCTACACACAAACACATACACACTGCACCCTTCATACACATAGCACCTCACAGACACACATAGGGAAAAAAAAAGTATAGAAAATGTAAAAAAAAATAGAAAATATATTTAAAAAAAAGAAAAATGTTAAAAATAAAATAAATTGCACTTGCGCTATAAAATTAGTTACTGCGTCACTGGTGGGCGGTAAGGAAATTTTACCATCAACAAAGATACAAAAGTGGGCAGTTGGTATTAAAAGGTTGACTACCCCTGCTTTAAACGATGAGCACACTACAAATGAACAATGCAAAGGTGCTTCTTCTTAAATGCTACAACAGAGACTCTGTCATACATGTGGCCAAGTAACATTTGTATCTGCAAATAACCTATTCATACACTGAGCCAGCCAAACTCCCAACAAATGTATAGATTTACAGATACAGCAAAAATAAGGTGTTCACACCATAGGCAGAACCAGGAACCGTGCAGAGGGCAACCACATGGGAGTATGCTTCCTTGAACAGCCCTAGAAACATAGAATGTGACGGCAGATAAGAACCATTCGGCCCATCTAGTCTGTCCAATTTTCTAAATACTTTCATTAGTCCCTAGTCTTATCTTATAGTAAGAATAGCCTTATGCCTATCCCACGCATGCTTAAACTCCTTTACTGTGTTAACCTCTACCACTTCAGCTGGAAGGCTATTTCATGCATCCACTACCCTCTCAGTAAAGTAATACTTCCTGATATTATTTTTAAACCTTTGTCCCTCTAATTTAAGACTATGTCCTCTTGTTGTGGTAGTTTTTCTTCTTTTAAATATATTCTCCTCCTTTACTGTGTTGATTCCCTTTATATATTTAAATGTTTCTATCATATCCCCCCGTCTCGTCTTTCCTCCAAGCTATACATGTTAGCCCTATATAACAGTGTGCTGCAGTGGCTATGGTGCCAGGATTGTTGATGTTCATGAAATAGTAACTGTTGTGAGTGAACAACTAATTTGCAAAGTTGGACCAAAATACGTGAGTTTGAAAAAAAATCTGAAGTCCAGCTGAAGCTGTTGAATGTTGCAAATTTACACTTTGCAAACAATTTGTCAATGCATCGCTCACTGCTACATAAATAACTATGTAAATAAGGGTTTATACACAACACATATATTCACAGTAAATGGAAAAATACTGCAAAATTTAGACTACAATAGCCTGACTGTCATTAAATTTGAGAATTCGTCCACATCAGTTATTGTAGTTTTTTCCCCATGGATTTCATTGTTTGGTGAATTATTATTATTATTTGATTATTTATATAGCGCCAGCAAATTCTGTAGCGCTGTACAATAGGTATAAATCCCATTCAAAGTATTACACTAAAATACAAATTTTACTGAATTGTAATCTGAAGAGCAAAACGGAGGATAAAATATCCATTATAGTTGGAGTCATTTTCCATATCTGCTACTCTTGTCTTAATTTTGCTATTCAGAATTTAATTTAGAGTTTAATGAATAAATCATGTTGTGTTTACCAAATAGGACAAGGAGCTGTGGAAATTTTCTGGAATTATAAATTTGACATCAAAATAACTCTACAGAAAAATGTTGCTATTTTAGCCCCAATTTACTAGTGTAGTGCATAACCTTGTGAACATGTTCTTTTGTTTCAAATGTAACTTGTAGATGCATTAAAGAGGCTCTAACACTTTAGGGGTATTTGCATATGTGTATGTTTGGTGTATGACTGATTGGGAATTAAGCTAACCGTATACATACCTGAAGCCCTCCTCACAAGCTCTTAGTTTACCTTATGATATTTGCAAATGTCAATAAAATTCTAGTACATTTTGTAAGAGTATTTGGTAAAGATTTTATGTTTATGAAATACTGAGAAATTCTATTGTGGTGACAGAATTAAGAAAAGTAATAAAAAATAACAGTTTTACAGTTAGATGGTTACCTATTTAAAACAAACATATACTAATGCTTCAATATGAATGATTACACTTGGTATTTCATTGCAGATAGATATATATGACATCTTTTCATTTTATTATGACACAGTGATATAGAGACAGACATGTTTTAGTCATTAAATATTGTAACGGTTAAACAATGCTGCTGGATAGCTAAATTGTGTTTTATCACTGTGTTTCTCTCTTAGCTGAGAAAAATGTAAAATGAAAATAGAAAGATAACACATTAAAAATGTATTTTTTTCGAGGTAATTTCAAGTTGAGCATTGTAAATAATGCTTAAAATCCAATTGCTGAACATATTTTTCAGTCTCACTTTAGCTCAAGGAATCATTTAAAATTGAAATAATCTAATAGCCTATCACTTAGTGGGTTGCATTAATTGTTTATAATCAGATTATAGCACATTATAAAGGCAACTAGTCGCTTTCAGTCACCTAATCTCATATAGAGGTGTGTGTATTGCCCAGGATGAGGGTAAGCCCCCAAATATCCCGAAACTAGTCCTTGAGGTGCTAATAATACCTGAGCCCTCTATGAAGGGGTTTCGGTTTGCAAGGTAAAACAATTATTTTGTTATCTGAGTGATGTGAAAATTGGGGGCCCAGGCGTTGAAACATGCACTTTCCATGGACTCTCGACTAATTTAACACCAATGCGTGAATCCTACCTGAATGGCTCGGATCCGGCTCAGGGGGTGTGGGGGCTGTGACGTCACGGGGGATTTAAATACCAGGGGGAGTCACACATCATTCAGTAGAGAACCTTGGAGATTAGGCAGAGGGTTTAAACACTGAGCACTGAAACACTGTTGTTACCACTATCCCTTCATCACTTGATATATATATTTTAATCATTATTATAGCAAAGACCACCACGATTTTTTCATTTCCCCCTCAAATCACATAAAACACAACTCACTCATTTTATATTGGATTGAAGTGTAGACGCTCTTGCCTTCCCTCCTCACAAGGATCCACAGTCACACACCTCAAACATTCGCTTTGGATACACCATCGACAATCTGAAATGACTCCGGTTCCGATTCGGATCACCCTGCTCCTGGTGTTTTGCTCCGGTTTGTGCAGCGCCATTCAGTGGCTGTAAGTATAATGCGTTCCAGTATAATTCTGAGTTGCACCTATTTTGCCAGTAAAGGGATCGTTCGATTTGTGGCCGAAACGTTGATATTGTTTGGCGTGCAGTATTTATGGTAGTCCATTTTAGTAATATATTTGGTACAGTAGTGTCTGGATTTCTCATGTATACAATCCCTGCCTTGTCTCTGTATATACGTTCTCCATTGCTGTTCATTGTAGATTTTATTCCCACTGTTACTTTTGATAGTCATTTGAAAATTCCAGGGATTTCATCAGTAAAGTTGCATTTTGTTTACTATTTGTATCCCCTCCTGCTGATGTTATCATGACTCAGGAGCCATCTCTTATCTCCTTGGACCAGTTGATAACAAGCCTCAATTTGTTGTAAAGCTAATCTCCTGTCTGAGCATTCACCCCCTCTCCCAAACTAGTCCCTGTATCAGAGCCTGCTTGCTCTTTTCACGTTGTGCGAATTCTTGGTGGCTTTGAAATGTCTGCTTATGTGTAAGGAAAGGTGGGGGGAGTACTGAGTATTGGGTAATCTTGTTTTTCTGTGAATTCACTTTCATTTATATAAAGGTAAGCCATATTTTCACTAAACCAGAAAGCGTGGAAAAATTGGCAAGGCAACGCTAAATGTTCGACCAAAATGGCTCTAGAAAACTAAATTTTGTTAGCTTGGATACTTTGGGCTAAAACTTAGAATTCCTTTGTCAATTCTTCACAATTTCCACAATTGTAGGCTCTTCTCAGCAGGATCCTCTTCAACTATTGTTCCTGTAAAAATGTAATTGTCTCACTTTATTGTTAAATGTACCACTTTAATATTGTACAGTGCTGCGGAATAAGTCGTTGCCACATAGATTATGATGACACATAACACATTCTTCATCTAAATAATACTGCTGATGTAATGTATGTGCATATTGACAATACATATGGCAAAGACACTCTCCAAAGGGACTTGCAAAATGTTATGCCAGTCAACACTGCTGACCCTTAATATGAATATTTGGTCATAATTTAAGTCCTTTCCTCTGGATTTTGTGCAAGCCAAGCCAGATGGCTCACATGTAAGGCTTTACAGATCCACATGAAAACTAAGTTATGTTGATTTATGAGCACGGGTTGGAGTGGTGGTTTTTCTACCACTGTGCAGGCAGACTGCTGCACAAGCCACCCAAGTGTGCCATGGCCAAATTGGCAGAATGCATGATCTCTACTGTATACCTCCTGTAGTAAGGATGCATGTATGTCACACACCACTGAGCAATTTAAAAAGTTGGTGTAGCCTTTTCAAAACTCTTGTTTAGTGTCCCACGGTCCAAAAAGTTGGGAACCATTGGGTAGGAGCCCATCACAGAACATAGCTATCCATTTACCCAGTCCATAGTTGCTTAGTAGCTGGTAATATAATGCTGTTTAGTTACTACATATTTGCGGGTAGGTTATATCTATATCTCTCTTCATACATCAGCAGATTTAATAGAAAATCATGATAGATACAGCAATGTTTTGATCCCTTCAGGGACTTTATCAAGCTGAAGGGATTGAAACGTAGCTGTATCTGTCATGATTTTCCAATAAATCTGCTGATGTTTGAAGACCTTGAGTGCCCGGAGTACTTTGCTGTTACTATATGGATTAGGGGTTTGTTAGCCCTAGATAAAGTGCAATGAGGTCTACAGGTGATGAGAGTGCAGATCCCTCCTTTTTCGATCTTTGAATTGTCCGTCTATGAACATAACTGACTTATAATTAATCCTCTATTCTGTGCTTTTTTTTTTTAGTGGTCTGACAATAAATGGCAGTTCAGTGGCCTGGAATGAGAGTGAACACTGTAGATTGTTGGAACGTCTCGTCCCTGATCAGATCCAGCTCTGCAAGAGGAACTTGGAGCTAATGCACAGCGTTGTTAATGCTGCAAAACAGACCAAAATGATTTGCCAGTTGACCTTTTCTGACATGAGATGGAACTGCTCGTCCATTGAAAGTGCACCACACTTTACCCCTGACTTGTCAAAAGGTAAGAATCCAAAAGGTTATTGTGGAACCAGAGAAAATCTATGCAAAGTAAAAAAAAAACAAAAAAAAAAACAAACTAAAGTTGTGAATGAAGAATGCACTAAGACACAGATCTAAGTGGGATGTGGGACACAGATCTAAGTGGGATCTCCAGCAACACACCCTTCTTTCTTCTATACACTTGAATTGCCTCACTGGAAATGCTTTAATATAGTCACCAGAACTACAACTTAATGTAGTTGTTCTGGTGAGTATAGTCAGCCCTTGCAGGCCTTTTCCAGTAAACCTTGTCTTTTCAGAGAAAAGGCAGTGTTTACATTACAGCCTAGGGGCACTTCCAGTGGCCACTCCTCAGATGGCTACTAGAGGTGCTTCCTGGGTCAGTGCTGCACACTGAGCAGGACTGACATTCAGTCTCTCCACCCTCTGCATGGGGACACTGAACTTTCCTCATAGAGATGCATTCATTCCTACGGGAAAGCATTGTGATTGGCTGAGATTACTTCTGAGGTCAGCCAAGGAGGCAGATCAGGGGCACAGCCAGCACCAGCAAACTATAAAATATTGGTTAGATTCTACTATATTTAAGGGTGCCAGGGGGGCTGTATGGTTTTAACACTGTAGAGTCAGGCATACATGTTTGTGTTCCTGACCCTATAGTGTTCTTTGTATTACTATTTTGACTGGTGTTCTATTTATATCTTGGACTGTAAACTCATTTGAGTAGGACCTTCTTCAGCTCTTGTCTGTTTTATCCCATATGTAAACTACTTTCAAATATCCACATTTTATAATTTTAAAGCGCTGGCACTATATAAATTTATGATATATAATATGACGTTTGAACAACTTAACAGCCTCTCACCCTAATTTTGCCTAGCTTTCTCGTATCATTTTTACAATTGTAGACTTGTAAAAGTATGTATGTAAAGGGTAAAATGTTTCTATTAATGGTAATTTCCTTTCTTTATTCTTATAATATCCTGGAATGTTTACATTTCGGTCCTAAAGTGTCTATTTTTATTTCAGGAACAAGAGAATCTGCCTTTGTTTATGCTTTAGCGTCTGCTGCTCTGAGTCATTCCATTGCGCGTGCTTGTGCTGCTGGTGATATCCCAACATGCTCTTGTGGAGCCACTCCAGCTGAGGTTTCTGGACCAAGTTTCCGCTGGGGTGGATGTGGAGACAATTTGCGCTACGGCTTGCAAATGGGTTCTGCCTTTGTGGATGCACCCATAAAGTCAAGCAGATCAGGAACGCAGGCTACAAAGTTCATGAACTTGCACAACAATGGAGTGGGGAGACAGGTAAGGTCACACGAAAATGTGAACACATTTTATTGTGCTTTTCATAATAGTCTATATCAGGGGTAGGCAACCTTTTAGCAGCACTGTGCCGATATAGGATTATGATGTCCCGTAGCGTGCCTGTCCTAATTTTTTAAATTGAGGTGTGTATGCTGCCGTATTCTGCTTGTGTTATTTTTACTGTAATTGCTTTGTATCGTTGTATTTGTGCGTATATGTTTATTAGTAGTTTATGGTATCGTGTATGATACATATGAATGTGGGCTGTGTATGAGGGCTGCTTGTGGATGGATTTGTCACATTGTGTATTTGGTAGTGTGTGTATGTGTGGGGCTGTTTGGGGTATTGCATGTGGGGTTGTGTGCAGGGGCGTTTTAGCCGCGAGGCAAACAAGGCATTTGCCTTGGGCGGCATTTTTCTTTGCCGCCCCCCAAATGCCCAAGGCAAATGTCTTGTTAGCCTCGCGGCTAACAGACATGCTGGGCGCTGGGCAGCATTGGCTGGTGGGCGGGCGGCTGGCGAGGGAGCTCTTCCTGTGAGCCGACTGCTCAGCTCCCTCGCGCGCCGCAGAGTGAGGCTGGGAGCCGGAATATGACGTCATCAACCCGGCTCCCAGCCTCACTCTGCAGCGAGGGAGCTGAGCAGACCGCTCAGGGGAAGAGCTCCCTCGCCAGCCGCCCGCCAATGCCACCCACCCAGCAGCCACTGGACCACCAGGGAGATAGAGAACCCCTTCCCTCCCCAGCACTCCCAAAGGTAAGGGGGCTGGGGGGGAGGGTTTAAAAAGTACATGTGTTAATGTGAGTGTGTGTGTCTGTTAGTGAGTGTGTGTGTGGGGGCTGGAGTGGGGGGGTTTAAAAAGTACATGTGTTAATGTTAGTGTGTGTGTCTGTTAGTGTGTGTGAGTGTCTCTGCTAGTGTGTGTGTGTGTCAGTGAGTTTGTGTTTCTGTTAGCTAGTGTATGCATATCTGTCAGTGAGAGTGTGTGTATTTAGAAGGCGGGGGGAAGGGATGGGTGGGGGTCACGCGGGGGGGGAAGGGATGGGTGGGGGTCACGCTCGCAGGGGGGATTGGGGGTGCCTGAGTTTTGTCCTGCCTAGTGCAGCACAAAACCAGGATACACCACTGGTTGTGTGCATGTATGTGGATTGTTAGTGGTGTTGCATTTGTGGGGATTATGTGTGTGTGTGTGTGTGTGGGCTGTTCATATTATTTGTATGAGGGGAGGGTTATTCTGCAGCTCCGTGTATATCTAGCAGTGTGGGTGGGTTCCAGTGGGGACCAGGCTGGCCAGGTACAGGTCAAGGACAGGAGGTGCGATAGCTGTTGAGGGCTGCTCTACTACAGTGTGGATTCCTATTCACAAGTGCTGGGAGGAAGTGATCTGAGATCACTTCCTCTATGTGCTGCAATGCATAAATTGAGGATTGTCCTTCACCACCTCTTCGTATTAGCAGATATCTGAAGTTTTACTGGGACTCCTGATAGGCCAGAGTGTGTTTAGCTCTAGCAGCCTTGAGTGCCGTGCAAAGACACCTCGAGTGCCGTGCATGGCACTAGTGCCATAGGATGCCTACCCCTGGTCTATATTGTGCAGGCAACTTACAGCTTTCATGAATTTCAGTATTGATATGGTTGAGTCATATGGTAGATATATCCAAATGACTTCAGGACTCCTTTTTAAAACTCTGAAATTAACCCCTTCAGGACACGACATGTGTGACATGTCATGATTCCCTTTTATTCCAGAAGTTTGGTCCTTAAGGGGTTAAACATGCATTGCATCATGAGATTCCGCATGACATGTCAATTATATCTTACATTCACAATAAAAAAAGATTCCTGGAATATTTTAACCTATAGGAAGGCACTCCATACATTTCTAAAATATATTCTTCACCTTGTGTCAGTGGATAAAGGCTTGCATTTACATTATATTTCATTCCTTGTTTCATAATTTCTGTTTTTTCACCCCTCTATAGATACTCATTGATTCTCTTGAAACAAAGTGCAAGTGCCATGGTGTTTCTGGATCTTGCTCTGTGAAGACCTGTTGGAGGGGACTCCAGGATTTATCCAGTGTTGCTAATGAATTGAAGTCAAAATATCTAGCTGCAACCAAAGTAATAAACAGGCAGATGGGAACTCGAAAGCAGCTGGTTCCTAAGGAGCTGGATATCAGGCCTGTCAGAGACTCTGAACTGGTCTATGTGAACAGCTCTCCGGACTACTGTACCAGCAATCCGAAGCTGGGGTCCTATGGAACACAGGACAGGTAGCATATTTTTCTTTACAGTTAATTTCTCAACTACTCGTCTTTTTCCAACTAAATATTTTACACTTAATTTAACCGTTAGAGAGAAAAAAAAGTCTTTTTTTTTTTTTTTAAAGGGATACTCTAAGCACCATTATTAGTACAGATCACTGTTACAAGTTTCTCTTCTCAACAAAAGACTGGGTTCTTCATTGCGCCCAATGCTTCTGGCAATGAGACTAGCTTTGTTGCATTATGGGTTTTTCCATCTTCCTCTCTTTTCCTAACCAAACAATCCATTTGGTACACTGCTTTGTTTGATTACTAGATAGTTGTTTATTTCAATTGTTCAAGTTACTGATAGTTAATGGTGTAAAATGGAAACTACATGGTAACAAGCTTCCAATTTTCTGTACAAACCATGTGGCAATGTAATTTGTGGACACCTGCAGATTAGTACTGCTCTTGAGGTCATGTGTTTTCATGAACCTTTAGCTGTTCACATATGGTGTATGGGGATCAGGGTGAAAAGTAGTGGTGTTTTTTGTGTGTATTTTTAATGAGCAGTAAGTTTTACATTAAAGAAATAGGAGAACCACTATATTGTCAATGGCCACACACAGTGAAGCTTAAGATAAGTTGACTCTTATTGATCTACCATTCAATGAACAGTGTATATTTTTATGGTATGTGTGCCACATAATTAACATTTTTACTTTTTTGTTCATTTTTAGATTGTGTAACAAGACCTCATTGGGAAGTGACAGCTGTAATTTGATGTGCTGTGGCCGTGGGTATAATGCTTACACAGAAACCATTGTGGAGCGTTGTCAGTGCAAGTACTACTGGTGTTGCTACGTCACCTGCAAGAAGTGTGAGCGGATTGTGGAGAGATATGTCTGCAAGTAATTCCATTATGGGTTTCCCGCAACACACCATGAAATTGCCAAATTACATGGTAATCACAAGCTTCGTAACTCAGGGATTGTGACTTAAAAGTTCTCTTGATGAAATGCAGAGGGCACCTTTTAAAGCAGCTGGTCTGAAGTGCACACTAACAAGAACTTATTCATCCCATAGAGTAGTTGAATGCCCTGGGCAGGTGAGCTTATAGTGCTCAAGAGCTGAAGGCCCATGAAGTGACAATTTTTTTTATTTGAAAAAGGCTAGCCGCCTTCCTTCTCTCTGACACTCAAGAAACCAAAGCACCACTGGAAGAGAATGCGCATGATCCTAAGGGAGTTTGCCTTCCTTTGTGCAGAGGTGGTGCGTTTTGACTAATGCTCCGCTGGAAGGAGTTTGTGGACCTTGGTGCCAGAACTTTGTAATGCAATTGGTAACCTTTATCCATTTTGACTGCAAAAATGTAATGTACTTGTAAATACTTGTAAAGACTAAATTGTGGACCATGGCATAGATTTACTGTAACAATTTTGCTAAAGCTGTAATTTATATTTTTTTTTAATAAACCTGTTTTTGCTGTGGCAGACAATTCTTGTATTGCTTTCTGAGTTTGACAAAAGTAGAAGGGTGCGGGAGCATATGTTGCATGAAACTGAAAAGGTAGGTTTTACAAATCAAAATATTTAGAAGGGTGACTGTCAGTCATCCACAAATCCACGGTGTCCCATATCATGAAGAATATTAGGTGATTATATACAGATTAAATCTGATTAAAACTGATTAACGTTAGACAAAGCAGAGTGCAATGTATCCTTGATCATTTTACGGGGAGGAAAAAAAACAAACTTCAAAAGTTAATCCTAAAGCGGTAGAGATCAAAAGCAGTCATGGCTGCAATATGATTCAAGATGTGATAGATGTGGTACACAATGACATCACTCTGCATCCCCAATCTTTATTATACATTAGACAAGATGGTCTTTCAGTGCCACTTCTTCTGCACCTGTGGTGATATAGTGACAACTGGATGGGGGAGGGCAGTTTAGCAGGTGCTTCTTTAAGATCTTCTAATGCAGCTGCCATGGAATAAGGGCAAACAGGAGCTATTTACTGGTCAGGTCTTACTCTTGAGTGTTTGTAATCCTCTGAATTCCAGAGTTTTACTACTATAAATACTTGCTGTTTTTATCTGGCATTCAATCCTTTCCTCCTGCTTTTAAAGTGTTTGTGTGGGTTGTGTGGGGAGAAAAACTCTTGTTCTGTTTTTTTTCTGTAGTGCGGACAAAACTGCAACCCAGAATATCTCAATGGCTTGCAAAAGCCAGTCTGGCTTCAACTCATGGAATTGGACACCCTCCCACCAGAAGCTGTAATTTATGGCCACCTTATAACCTTAAGCTGTGATCATGGGGGGTCTCGGACACTACCATGCTCAGGAATCTGGAAGTCTGAGTGCTTGATGTTTTCTAGTGACTAATGACCTAAAGGGTTGCTAGGGGCATCATCATTTCAGATTGAATATGCTTGCAATGCAGTGAAAGCAATAGGTCTTTGTACTTTTGAACTGTCTTTATAAAGCTGATGTATAACTGGACAAAAAGTGAATTCAGATGTAGGAAGTTTTTAACTAGAATAGGAATTGTAGAGAATTGAGAATCAACTGCATGTTTTGATCGTCTCTCACTTCTCCCCCCCCCCCACCCCCCATATAAAACTAGTGAATGACTTAATAGTTGCAATTTTATGTCAATACCACAATTCACAAAAATACAAGGAAACATTCTTGCTCTTCTAAACTGGAACCCTAGCTGAGTTTTCATTTGGGCTATTTCAGCCTACAGTTTGACATGCTTGTGTAAATCCTTGTCAACTTACACTTTTTAGTGAATAAACAAGATGGTGTTTGTGATCCAATACTATTTTATTGAAACATTATAGTCTTGCGTGTATATAAAACGGGTTTTAGGGACTTTACATTTTTTTTTTCTCCCTCTTTTCCTTGACAAACTATAAGAAATTTCCCTTTGAAATAGAACATTAATCTTTTGAAAATGCTACTTTTCTCTATGCCATCCACAAGCTCCATTTGTGCATGTGGTGTGTTGGTAAATCACTCACATTCCTGTAGGGCTGAGTATTTCAAGAATAAAATCAGCTGCTGTGAAGTAAAAATCCTATTGGGTATTTTAGCCGTTATAGTCACAGCACCTGCAGTGCGAACTGCAACATACCAAGGTGTTTTATTTTTGAGGGTTAAAAAAAAAAAAAAGAAACTGCTATATTTACAGTTGGTGTAAGGTTTAATGGTTTGGAGTTTAATTTTTTTTTTATCTGATTTTTCTTTTCCAATACAGACAAAATACATTTAAAGTAATGGCACAGTTGTATTTAACTTGCGTTCTCTTTAAAAGTCTTTAGTTCTGCATACCATTACTTTTCTGTAGTAAGAAAAAAATATATATATATTTTTGTGGTGCAGGATAAGCACATATTCTGTAACACAGTGACCTAGTATCATGTTAAAGAGTGTGAAAGCAATATAGTATTATACAACGAAATGTGTCACATTGCCAGCACCATATTTTCATTTTTTTTTTTAAATAAAAACCAAAGGGAAAACAGTCTTGTGGTAACAGGTTAGTAATGCTAGAAGTTTGGGCAAGGTCAGATCGTTTACAACAGGTAAGTAAATACAGGGATATGCTGTCTTATGAGATAAGCATTTAGGAAGGTTGAGTATACTTCAGCACTCCAGGCTGTCGGGAGTAGATTCAGGATATACGGTGAATTAAACCAGCAGGGTTCTGTCCCTGTTCGCAGTGTCAGTACGCTTCACTATATTAGTGTACCCCTAACCAAGGGGCAGGGAGGTGATAGAAAATGTGCTTGCCAGTAGGAAGTTAGCAGGATCCCAGCTAGTGGAGAGAGTCGGTACCAAAAGACCCAGTATAGTCAAGAATGCCAGGGCCTCTGACACAGAGCTAAGTCTATGAACAGTTCCATTGAGGGTTATCAACGGGGATTGAGGTGCTCCCCATCAATTACATTCCGCTGGGTTTGGCTATAGAAGTGTAATGTGACAGTCCCACTACCTTCTGGAGGATCCGAAGGGGTCAACACGCCACCATCTTGGGTAGCGCCTGCTTCTCGAGCATTGAGCCAATGGCTCAGGATTCAAACACTGCTCCGATGGAGGGTTTTTAAAAATCTGCATCCCATGTTGGATATAGAGGTTGAGGGAATCAACAGGAGTTGGGCTGCTGTTTGCAGCACTATCAGGAAACGGGAGCTGTGAGAGATGGCGTACGCTCGGTCTTGCTGGCAAGCTCCACCTCCTACTTTCTGTAAATTAAAAAAATATTTTTCTTCCTTTCTCAAACTGATCAAATGTGTTTTTTTTTGTCTTTTTAAAGATTTTTATTGGTCACTGTGGTTGTATCAAAACAAGTACTGAGTGACTGTAAGTACACATGTAAACCATTTTTTCCAAAATATGACATACAAAGTTTGAAAGTCAGGTCAGGGAGATCTCCTCTGTTTACTCTCAAATGGGGAGTGCGCATGATCTGCAGCCCGAGACCCCTTATCCCACTGGGCTAGTAGCCCCATATGCCAGCAAGGTCTGAAAGTCAGCGTGATATACGACCATCAGCCAGTGAGCCCAGATGTCTGCGTAAGATTGGGTGCGTCCTTGGGCCATGAATGTCAGTTCTTCTAGTCGTCTTAGGTCCTCCATTTTGTCAAACCACTGTGTCAATGGGGAGGGGGTGGGGAGGGGAGTTCTCCTGTTTCCTGTAGAGAGGAACTACTTGTTTGGTCATATTTAAAATACGGAGCTGGTCGGAAGGGCGGCGGGGTTGTTGGACAATTACTAGGATGTAGGATGCCATTAATTGCCGACCAGAAGGGTCTGATTTTAGAGCATTCCCACCAGACGTGTAAGAAAGTACCCAGGGCGGCTCTGTAATGCCAGAAGTCTCTGTCCAGAGCGGGGTTCATGCTCTGGAGGAGGTGAGGCGTTATGTATCACAGTGTTGAGGACCTTATATGCTGTTTCCTGTGTCTTACTAGCAAGAGCACAATGATGCACCAAATCACAGATCTTCCCCCATTGGTTTGTGGTAAAGGTTTCACCTAGGGCAATTTCCCCATGTACCCAGGGGCTGGGAGGTTCAGCTCCGTGTGTAGAAAAGAGTACAGAAGGGATACGGCATGTGGCTGTGGGTCGAGATTGACACATTGTTGCTCAAAGGAGGTGAGTGTCCAGGTTATGTCAGGTTGTTGGAGGATCTGTCTGAGGAACTCAACTGCTCGTTGTAACGGAGCTCCCTCTACCCATGGCTGGGTACCTCCGCCAAGGACCGCTTCCTAACTGGAACAGGGGACAAACTGCAGCACTTCTGCCCACAGTCTACGTGGTCTGCTAGGGCCCTAGAAACGCTCTCTCCTGGAGCCAAATGGGGAACCACACTGGGAGCTCTAGTTCTTATAAGGACTTTCCTCGTTGAATCCTTTACACTGGAACAGTGATTAAAGAATAGCCCTTTCCCCTCCCAGTAACCAGACAACACATAGTTTTGGGAGTACAAGCTGGCATACGTTTAATGGCAGCCACAACTGGCCTTATATGCAGGTCCCCATGCAAGGGTCACTCCCCCCTGGACCTGAGAGTAGACTACACACGATTACATTGGCTCTCAGGTCCAGGACACTCCCATACAAAACAGGACCATCCTTTCCCTGTGCCTGGAGATAATTGAGTCAAGCAAAGTCAAAACTCAATTACCTCCAAGCACCCAAAAAGTACATTAAAAATACATAAAACCTCACAAAAGTTACCTCCCTTGATAACCCTGATCTAGGTGACCAGCATATCCAAAAATCACCCAGATCAGTTCATGGGTTTAGTCATAATTTGACCGACCGCATGGTTCCATGCCCAAAGCAGTTCAAGAGAATCAGGGCTTCCGGTTGGTCGAGTCCGGTAGTTTAAAAACGAACAAACT